CTCAGAACCAGGCAGCTAAGAGTCACCCAAATCCTGACCCTGCCAACGCTGACACATGGGGGCTACTGTTCTAAGGCAGTATGTTCAGGGGAGTTTGTTATATAAAAACCAGTTACTATTCTACTCGGTGTTAAGTGGTAGTGCTCTTACTCAATACCCTAGGTCAGATATTAGAATTATATTATCTGGACACACACACACACACACACGCGCGCGCGCGCGCACACGCACATACTTAACATTGAAGCAAAATTTAAAAAGGTTTTTCACTTACAAAGATGGGACATTGTCCTTAGAATTGGCGACTTTGAAAAGCAAAGAGCGCCCGTCAGTCCTCGGCTTTACCTTCTCAGCGAGGCAATGACTGGGTTTCTCAGGCCCCATTTCTTGGTGTTTAAGGGAAGGAATTTATAACGAAGAAGCAGGTCAAGACCTGAATGGGACTTACGGACACATCTGGGACGGGGTACCCAGCCTACACGAGTGCATTTTGTGGTATTTCCCAGAAGGGGAGGATAGAAGCCATTTCTGCATTGGTATGTGATGACACCATCAAGTCCGTATTGGTTCATTTTAGAAGCAAAATCACTGTTTGGAATTACTGGAGGATCACATGTTATTTCTGAAAAGAAAAGGACACGTGGATTATGCAGAAATCACTACCCTTGAATACAATCATTATATGAGAATCCATTGGCTGCCACTTCTTGTTCTTACCAACGAGCAAAGTGGCATTAGAATGAGCAGGGTCTCCATCCTTCCCCTCATCACTCATTTCCCTCCCGCATGGCTCATCTGGAGCATCTGTGGCTCTTGTGTCTTGAATCCTCTTTCCCCAAAGCCATCACTTCCATCACGATATTCCGTAGGCGGCAATGACCTCATCATACGTGCCTTCCTCTGCCCTCAACTCCCTGGGGTTGTGAAGTTCTGATAAGGACGGTTCACACTTATTCTGAGCCTCTTTCTGCCAGGCACTTGGTAGTGTTGTCCCCTCCTGGGGACCCCAGAAGGTTTGCTCTAGGATCGCTCCCAGACATCCTACTCAGAGATGCTCGAGTCCTTCCGATGAGTGAACGGGGGACTGGGGTGCTTTCCCCTGGGACACCAGGGAAGTTTGCTGTGTTGTGATCATTGTTGCGTAAGGAAATTGCCCAAATTAAACACTAAAAAAACCCCAGCACATAACAAATTATGAAATTGCGGACAGTGATGCATAGTCTACTCACACCTGGTATTTGACGAGACATCATGGGCTCTCTCAAGTTCTAATTTATGATAACTCAAACATGAGAGGACTGGCCTTAGCCGGTTTGGCTCAGTGGATAGAGTGTAGGCCTGGGGATTGACGGGTCCTAGGTTGGATTCCAGTCAAGGGCATACGCCCAGACTGCGGGCTCGATTTCCAGTAGTTAGTGTGCAGGAGGCAGCAGATCAATGGTTCTCTCCCATCATTGGTGTTTCTGTCTTTCTCTCCCTCTCCCTTCCTCTCTGAAATCAATTTTTAAAAAAGTGAGAATAGATGTTAAAATAAATGACAGAGAAAAATTATAATGAAGTTTTTGTAAATTTAATAATACAAGTGCTTTTAAAAATGTTTCAAGTCTCAACATTTGTTCATGGTCTCAGAAAACAAAATAAAATTCAGCGAGATTACACTGGAAATTAAATATATCTTTTTTTTAAAAAGAAATTTGTTACATATAGCTGTTTTTGTTAAAATATTAAGTTGACAGTAACATTAATGACCTATAATAACTTTAAAGTTAAAATGTATGAGACTAAACATTTTAAAAATGTATAACCTGATGATGGTTTGACATAATTATCTATAATATCTTCACCATATGTAAAATTATGAAACTATCTATCCCTCTCCAAATTGTCTTGTATTGGGAATAAGAGTCTCCCAGCAATGCTGGAGTAATAGTTGAGCTTTTCTGTGACGTGTTCTAGTCATGGCCTCATGAACATCGTCACATGACTCCCTAGTCCCTGTGAAGTGGCTCTCACACTGTGGAACTCAGAGGACAGCAAACGATCTGCTTTTACTTCCCCTGAGGTGAGTTGTGATAATTATCCCATCATGATTATATATATGTGTGTGTGTGTGTGTGTGTGTGTGTGTGTGTGTGTGTGTATATATATATATGTATGTATTTTCTCTCTGGTTTATTTTAACCTGCCAACTCAATACAGTACTGTTATTTGATAAGAACTGAGGTGCCACTGGGCCACCGGGTCACTGTCTCCATGCGAATGGTGAATGTTGTGACCTTAAGACAAAGTTTCTACCAGCAAATTCATTAAAAAGACAAAGACAGCCCTGGCAGGTTTTGCTAAGTGGTCAGAGCAAGGACCCAGGCACCTAAGCATCTCAGGTTCACGCCTGGTCAAGGGCATGTACCTGGGTTACATGTTGGGTCCCAGCCCTGATCTGGGCTTATGAGGAAGGCAACCAATCTATGTGTCTCTTCATATCCATATCTATCTATCTATCTATCTATCTATCTATCTATCTATTATCTATCTATCTATCTATCTATCTATCTCATCTCCCCTTTTCTCTGTCCCTTCCACTCTCTCTAAAAATCAATGGAAAAGATAACCTCAAGTGAGAATCAACAAAAATAAAATAAAGAGAAATTAAGAAGGATTAAATCCTACTTAAAAAGGAAGCTAAATATTCCTGTCAGTTTCAACTCACCTTGTCCACGAGCCCAGGAGACCCACAGGGTGAGGATGACCGTGACTAGGAACTGCATGGTGGGGCTCCCCGGATGTGTTAGCATAGAGAGTCCAGCGCTGCTATTTGGGGTTTAAATCCACTGTAGTTACCTAGAGCGGCTCTGAATTTAAGTGAAATAAGGGGAAGCTAGTTTACGTAGGTCACTTAGTAAATATCAAAGTGCAAAAAGCTTTGCAAAACCACTCAGTTTTCATTAATAATCAACTACCATTTGATTGCCCCAAATGGATGCTATAAGCCCTAGATCAATTAGAAAAAATAGATACCTAATAACTAACTAATGGTATGAAATGAAATGCTAAAAGCATAGACTAATGTAAAAGAATGAAGAGGATTCTAAAGAATACTAGCAAAAGTGCCACAAATTAGAAGTAATCGGCATAAATACATCCATCAGTAGTCATTATTGATGGTAAATCACAATGACAAGCCAATAAGAAAGAAGATGAAGTAAAATTGAACAAAGAGAAAACCCAATTATGAGCTGTTTCCCTACAGACCAATGTAAATATTAAGAAATGACCAGTTGAGACCGCCCAGTATGGCTCAGTGGTTGAGCACTGACCTATGAACCAGGAGGTCACAGTTTGATTCCTGGTTAGGGCACATGCTTGGGTTGTGGGCTCCATCCCCATTAGGGGGTTTGCAGGAGGCAGCCGATCAGTTAAAATATTTTTAATATATTCCCTCTCATTATTGATGCTTCTATATCTCTTTCCTTCTCCCTTCCTCACTGAACTAAAAAAATAATATATTTTTAAAGTGACTAGTTGAAAACAAAACATTGGAAAATGTAAACTTTGTAAGAACGAAGTCTGTGTAAGGTGAGTGGTTATGGTAATATTAGAAAAAATAATATTCAAAAGAGAAACACCAGAGACCACGGCAAGGGGGAAAACTGCATGAATTCTGTAAGGAAAGAATAAAATATAAATTTGTAGAAAACCTTTAAAATTCCACAAAAAAGAGCTATTAGAACTAATATACAAATGCATTTTCATTATATTAGAAACAAACATTAGAAAATGAGATGTTAAACAAGAACACTATCATTTATAAATGTTAAAAGACTTAAAATATGAAGGAAAATGCCAACAAAATATTGGTAGGATTGCTACACTGCAAATTTCAAAACAGATGGAGAAAAAAATTTCAAAGAAATGAAAAAGTCCATGTGTTTGTGGATTGAAGACTTACTATCATTAAGATGTCTATTCTCTACTTAATTCATGCTTTCAATTTGATACAAGAAAAATTGTCTTATTTAACCAAAATTAAATGTCACTGACAACATGATTCTAAAATTCATGTTTAAAAAGAACTAAATTGGAAAGTTTCATTTTTAAGTATCTATAGTTATAACAAATATTCTCTGTTTATCACGGTGTGGAAGTGTCATAATAATAAACACCTTAACCAATGGGAAGAAGGGATTCCGGAAATACACACCCACACACAGAGTAAGCACATATGAGTAGTATATAGAACAAACAATTTAAAAAGATCTGCCTGGAAAAATTAACGTGAACTCAGAAATCAGTTAACGACTTGGAAAATACTTTAATTTCTATGACAGAAGAGGAAATTAAAAGTGATGATGGTATTATTTCTAAACAAAGAAAAATAATAGGAAAAGAGACAGGTATCTTAATGAGAAAGTTAAGAGAAAAACCCAAAAGAAAGAGTCCTTAAATATCTTCAATGGAAAGAAGCACTTTCCTAACAAAATGCACCTTAAACTACACCGAGGTACCATGTTTTATCTACCAAAGAGGGAAACCATCTAACAGGCTGACCACAGCCCCTGTGCAAAGAAGTAGAAATGCCTATGGAATTGCTTGATGATCCATGAATTTCACTTCCGGCAGTTTACCCCGACCACCTGCCCACATCATCATGAAAGAGTTCTTTTTACTTCTCAGCATGTATTGTCTTACTTTTTGTATGTATTAAATTTAAATTAACATATTCTTGTAGTGAGCCATGGATAGATAAGCAAAACTAAGTAATAACCTCTACCATCTATTGTGAACATGGGTGTGACACAGTTTGGTTTTGACGTGTTTGTGAAGTGACTTTAAGGTGAAGATGGAGACAAGCATTTTTTATTTTTTTCCTCTGAAATTAGTCTCAAAACGCCCACAGCTGTGGAGAAGCTGAGAAAGTTGGGAGGGTGGTGGGGGAGCAGGGAGGGGAGAGATGGCATCTACTTTCTGGCCAGAGACGTTTCATGAACAGAACACACAGAATGTTGGTTTGTCACAGTTTAATGAGATGCTTATGAGAAGTGGTCCGTTGGTCTCAGATTACAATGACATCTCCCACATGGCATTTAACAGGAATTCTGACTAATGAATAAAAGTGAGTTTCACCCTACTAGAAAAATATATTGAGAAGAACTGGATTAATATCAAAACATTCTGAATGAAGGCGCATTTTTTAATTTGAAAACTGCCACATAGCTCTCATGTTATGCACAAGAGGGATACTCCATTTTTCCTTCATGACATTGTACTCGGAATGCAGATGCTGGTGACACTTTACGATAATCTTCTCGACACCTAAATTCAACAAAATCATTTGTTCTGGAATAAATTTTTTTCGCATATGAATATCTCAACTCTATGTTATGTTTTTCCATGATTTCTTCTGATATTACACATGCATCTGAAGGTAAAAAAAAAAGGAACATAAAAGTTTAAGTAGTATACAAATATTTTCCACAGACTTTTACACTTTCATGTAGAACATTCTACACAGATCCAGGAATTTATTCTCAAATCCTTTTACAAAAAAATTCATTGAAAATCCATCATGTTGCTATAACTCATTTTAAACTATCAATGATGTAAAAACAAGGTCTCTGTGGAATGTATGATCATTGCATGTTATAATCAACATTCACAATGTCACCTATGCTATGAAGGGCTTTCATTAAAGAATCCTTTGAAGGGGGTGGTGGAGGTGGATGAGAGTGGTGGAGGCATAAGTGGTGATAGGGAAAATAAATTAAAATTAAAAAAAATAATTGTTTGTTGCTGTTTTTGCCCAAGAATTTTTCAGAGTTTATACCCTCAGACATGACTATTTGGTTGTCAACAGGAGGGGTGATAGTCCATGCAAGTTCAGTTGTAAACAGCAAACATGACATTCATTACACGGATTTCTCAGAGTCCACAGGAATATTAAAGGACTTACCTAAGCATTTGGGTGGCTCAGACCACTGTCCATCGCGGCATGTTATTCTCCTGTTTCCCTCAAGTTCATAGAAGGCCTGGCATTGATACTCCACTGAAGACCCGGGAGGGTAGACTGGTGATGGGAATGTGGTAATGTCTCCATTGTCAATAGCAGGAGGGCGCCCACATTGTCCTGTGGACTCTAAGAGAGGATATTGTTTGATTTATTGAGTGAGCAGTTGATTTTAAGGGCGCTGCGGAGTAGGTGGGAGCTACACTTACCTCCTCCCGGCCCCAAATCGATTTACAGGAAACGATAGAGCAACAAACCTGAGTAACCAAATGAAGGCCAGCTGGACAGGAGTCTAGTAACCAAGTGCTTACAGAGGCTGCACAGAGACTGGGAGGGGAGAATGAGACACCTACCCTTGCACTCAGGTGGTTCTGTCCAATTCCCACTTAAGCAGGTCACTTCTGCATTCCTGAAGAGGCTCAAGGAGTTCCTGCATTCATAACGTGCTGTGTCCCCATGTCGATACCTAGGCTTCTGGTTTGGTATAAAGGCATTTTGCACTGTGGGAGGGCTGCCACAGGAGACATCTGAATAAAGAGAAAAAAAGGGATCTCTAATGCAGTGATCATTTAGACACAATTGAAATGGAAAATCTTCAGGAATTTACATGCAAGATTGAAAAAAAGAAGATGAAGTAATTTTTTGGTAAGAGTTAAACTTCTATATCTTAAGTTTTTTTCTCATTCTCTCTCAAAGGTTAATAGAGATTTTTAGGCCAATGAAAATGATGATTATGCTGTACAACACTTTTTTGTTTGATGTAGTTTTATTTTTTTTCCTTTGTTTTGCTGTGATGTAACAGAAAAAATATTGCTATGAAAAATGTCTATGATTTTATTGCCCATGTATTTTCTTCTAAGATTTTTATGGTTTTTGAATCTTACATTTACATCTTTAATCCATTTTGAGTTTATTCTTGTCTTTGGTATAAGAAGGTTGTCCAATTTCATTTTTTTGCTTGTGTCTGTCCAATTATACCAGCACCATTTATTAAACAATGGCAGCCCAATAAATTCAATAAAAATTAAGAAAAAATTTTAAAGTAAAAAAAATGATGGTTCCTTTAAAAATTTTTAAGTTTATTAAAATAAACATAGATTATATAAAATCAGAGTGAATTTATAAGCCCAAGAAACTCATAATGAACATATTATTAGGCAGTGAAATGTGGTTCGCAAACATCATGTTTTTCAATTGTGATTTCAGGCCCTTAGGAAATGAGTAGAGTAGCCAGGTTCTTAGAGAATAAGTCAAGTATTGACATGCTTTGAGGAATATCACATGGCTAAAGAAGAAGATACATACTTAAGATATCCACACAGAAACTGAGGAAAAATAGGAGTACAATATATGTACAGTTCCCTAAAAATACTTTAATAATGTGAGTGCTTAAGGGCACTGCAGTGAGCACTGTGAGATTCATTGGGAGACTCGGGTGGATATAAAGTAATAAGAGGCTGAAGCTACGGTTCCCCACAAAAGTGGGCGCAGAGCCCGCTGGGAATTGCTACAACGGTTTCAGGGTCACAACCCCTGAGCTTCTGATGCTGAGTCTGAGTGAGCCTGTGAGTTTGCATTTGCCTTCCTACCGATTCCCCAGACACACTGACACAGCTGTTTCCGGGGTCACACTCTGAGGGCTCTGGGGCCCCAATGCCCAGCACTGAGTGCACATCCCATTCCTCTCTGTTGAGGCACAAACCTTCCTTTATCTGGCCTAACCCAGAATCATATGCCTAATTTTTAATGAAGATAGAAGCCATTCACCAAAATACCTTTGCATGTGGGTGTTCCTATCCAAATGCCGTCCCTACACTCTACAAAATTGGATCCTTCCATTTGGTAATGTTCTGGACACCTATAAGCCACTTGGTCTCCTGACTTGTAATTATTCTTCTTCCGGCCTACGAGGATGGCATTGCCATAGCTGGGTGGGCTAGAACAAATTGATTCTGAAAAAGCAACAACATAGACTTTTCAGTAAATCTTTAAAAGTACATGTTGGCCAATAATTATACTTTAGAGTAATAGATACACACCAAACCAATGTGTACTATACAACGTTTTTCTAATAACTTGAAAATGGTAGCCATCTTGATTTAGTTATTTGAATAATTTTACATTTATCAAAAGTGCAACGTGGGGATGGTGGTATTGAAAGCCTGAGGAGATGGGCACAACGGGCATGACCAAGACCAAACTTCTTATAATGAAATTCTTGTCTGTCCACACGGGCCTCCGACACTATGTGCATTTGATACTTTTGCTTCTGTCTAAATCTGTTTCCCATAATTACATCAAACATCTTAAAGTAACTATGTTTTTGTTGATTTCAGAGAGGAAGGGAGAGGGATTGAGAGAAACATCAATGATGAGAGAGAATCATTGATGGGCTGCCTCCAGCATGCCCTCCTACTGGAGATCCGATCCTGCAATCTGGTATGTGCCCTGACTGGGAATCGAACTGTGGTCTCCTAGTTCATAGGTAAATGGTCAACCACAGAGCCATGTGGGCCTGGCTACATCAAACATCTTAGAACATTATGGATTTATGAGGAGACAACTGATAAACTCTCAGTGAATTGAATAATGATGAGGTTGGTGAGCAGGGACCAGCTGTGACACAGGAAGAGATGAGAACTCAGAGGATGCCCATCAGAACACATGGAAAGTGAACACGGATGACATCAAATGAAATAATTTGGCTCCTGTTGCCAAACTTTTCATATTACTATTAATTCTGCTATTTATTCTCTAGCAGAATCCAGAACTTTTAGAGATACCTTCTAGAATTAATGCAGTTTTATAGTTCTACCATGGATACTCTGAACTAAAGATATTTATCAGCCTTAGAAGAAAATGAAATACACTATACTTGTGCATTCTGGTGGATGGGACCAATTTCCTCCTGAACATTCTATAGACGCAGGTCCACGGATCCCAAATCCGGGTTTACAGTTGTATGTATATCTTTCCCCATGTGGATAACTGTTTATCCTGTCAGGAAGAATAGCATTGGCAACCACAGGGGGTCGTCCACAAGGAAGTCCTAAAAAAAGAAAGGAAAGAAAGAATGACTGTGTATTTCACTAACTGAACTTTACTTCATATCTTGGTTTATCATATTTGGTACTTTCATTTAAAAGAAAATTATCACACAGGTGCCAAGACCACATGTCAGGAAAGGTGCACAAATGCTTGACAAACCACCATTGTGGTGTGTCCAGCTGTCAGCTTGAGCAAGAACTTGAAGCGAAAACTGTGAACACATTTGAGAATGAGCGTATCAATGTTTCTCTAACGAGTCATGAGCAATAAAAAGAAACACACTGAGAATCATCTTAGGAAAAGTACCCTCTCCTGTAAGAGATCAGAAGGGACAATAGAGAGAGAACATAAATCTTTATAAAATCTGGCGACAAAGCTTTCATTGCAACCCATATGAATATGTAGGAGCATGAACAGGTACACTTATATGAAGAGTTAGGTTTCATTTCACTACATTTCAGGTTTTGTAGGAAAAAATGCCTGAATTACAAGTGATTTCATAATGGACCAATAAAATAAAAATAGGCTTGATTTGTTTATGCCAAAAAATTTGGTAAAATATTAAAATCTATATAAATGACATATAATGGTTTTATATGTTTCTAAATCTAAAGAGTTATTTCTCATGGCTTTGATGATGATGATGGATTATATTACTGAACTGTATCAAAACAGAACTTTAATTTGCATGCTGTCCTCACCTACACACTGTGGTGAAGCACTCCATTGTCCCAGGTGGCATGTTATACCATCTTCTTTGGATAATTTGAAACCATCCTTACAAATATAACTTAATGTGGTGCCATGTGCATATAGCTTGGGTCCCCATGTTCCTCTCTCGTCTTCTGAAGATCTGGATGAATTAATGCTTCCATGTTCAACATTAGGTGGTTGAGAACATGGAGTTTTTTCTATATGAAAAATAGAGATTAAAGGGTTAAGCACAAAGATAATGTTTAAATTGAAAAATAAAATCCAACACTGTTTGGGACTTTAAAGTAAGGTCACTGGAACCAATTAAATTATTAATCACTAAAAGTATTTGAAACTTGCAAAGATATATGTGCCCATAAAATTGATGTCATTGTCCATTTGTCCCATATGCCTCTTCAGTCTCCTCCTGTTCATCTTGAGGAGTGAAATACGCATACACAGAACTTGGGTATTTTCACAGTCACCGGAAGTTTCTGTTTGCATTCATTTCACTTTATAAAAGAAATAATGCTGACGGATTTCTGCACCTGGATGGTGTGTACTGTTTGGAGATGAAGTGGGAAGGGTAGGGGAAAGGGCGCATCCTGTTCCTTTACACAAAGCAGGGGTGTGGGTTACCCTCATCTGAGAGACAGTGTAACGCAAGTGACCCACTACTGACCGACACAGCGCGGTATTGACTGCCATCGTCCATCCTGGCACACGATTTCCTCTCCTTCCTGGATTAGAAAGTTTTCTTGACAGAGAATAGATATTTTTTCTCCTTCATGATAATTCACGGTCAGGGTCATATTTTGAGAATTGGGAATCTGAGGTGGAGGTGGGCATCGTGGTGCTTCTAAAAATATTAAAATCAGATTTCTTGATGAAAAATTGTAAATCAAAAATATTAAAATAACAATTCAGTGAATAAAATGATCAATAATAATGCACCTGGAAAGATCAAACTATAATGCTCTGTTCTGTGTTTAAATATGTTATACTTTCATCTTGCTTGTCACTCTAATATACCTCATTGGGTTTATATTCGCATGGCCTTCCTTGTAGGTTCTTTCCTTTATACCTTCTGGGATCAATCTTGGGATGCTTAGCTTATATAAAATGCTTTCTGTATATTCTAGGCCCATGGAAATTGGTAAAAATATTGAGGTGAGTGGGTCAAGGTGCCCTTCTGTTAAAGAAGAGCAATAGTGATATGAAAAGTGAATAAACTCTGTGTTATTGGAATTGGTGGTGGCAATAAGACTCAGTGTTTGCCAGACAGATAAATGACCAAAGACAAATGACTAGATGGGTAGATTCCTACAGAGATAGATGGATGCAGACATAGATAGAGCGTGCACCCATAGATGCTTAGATAAATACATGCGTTATAGGCATAGGCACATCTGTAAGGTAAGAACTTGGTAGCAATGGGATCCCAATAGTAATGCGCACACCCACTGCCCAGTGTGACTTTAAAGCCACCGCACTGCCGGGCGGTTTGTTGATAGCTGACCACTGCACATGATACAATTACTATTCAGAAACAGTGTTTTGGTTATTTTCTAAATTACTTTCCAGCTACAACATTATTGTCATAATACAGACTTAGAAATAAAATGTTAAGACACAAAGAGACACCTTGTACAAGGCAGGAAGGAAAATCACTGTTTGGAAATGTTCTAAACAAGAGCTCACCTGTGCAGGTCACCTCGGGCTCCCACTTTCCGTTCACGCAGACTGAGTGTTTCTGCTCTGACTTCCTCCCACATGTGTAATTGATTTTCTTATTATGCTCATAGTCATTCCTTTCTTGTAAGTTTGTCTCATAGGCAGTTGCCCTTGATAATTTACACGTCTTCAGTTCAACTGTTGCTGTAAAATGAAAATATTCCATTGAAAACACTGATTATGAAAATCCAAGCAACTAATATTAATAACCCAACACAACAACTATAGAGTCCAAACTCTAATGAAATAGGATCTTAGGTCCATAAATTCCACCAGCAAAGTTATTCCTGATCATGCTGCATGAGGTGCGCTACAATGTTTGGACACACAGTCCTATGTCCAGTATTGAAGTTTCAGAGAGAACAGTCATCCTAAAGCCATGTTGACCTTTGGGGATTGCAAGGACATTGGGGTTCACCTTTTGTCTGATCTACATAGGGAAGAGTCATACATGACTAAATATGATCCCGTTTGAAATCTGCAAATTTTCACATCCACTTTTCTTGATCCCAAACATCTCTAAATTATTTTTACTCTACAACCTTGAAGTGTTAAAAGAAAAAAATATCTGTGGAAATAGACGATGTGAATTTCCTAGTTTTATTATATATTTTTCAATAAATTAAAGTACAATAACAAAAAAGGTTGATCTAAGTTGTAGGGTTTAGAATGTGAATATTTCAGCATGTCTTTAGCATGATCCCTAAAAACCAGAATAAGAAACTTGGTTTTTAAGTCATGACACATTTTGGATATATGTTCTTAGAATCTTTGAGAAGCTATTTTATACACCAGATCATGCTAGAATCCAGTAATATTATAATGCCATAATAACATATTTATGTTGGCTGCAGTATGTTTTAGATATTGACTATGGAATTTTCATACACAGCTACATATTTCAAAAAGGCAATGCAGGTGGCAATCCTTTTTGAATTTGATAAGACCTATCAGTGTAGGTCTTAGGTAGTTTTTGTTAATAATTTGTAAATGATGAGAGTCAAGTGAGGATGAACAGAACAAAGAAAAGTCAAGTAATTGGCCAAAGAAAAGGGATGATTTTGTAATGCAACCTTGAAAAAGAAACTAAAATAAAGGGGATTAATTTAAAACAGACAAGAGGCTTGAGAAATAGTCTTATTGTTAGGGCGGGTCCAGAGTGGTGAGGGACAAAAATGAGTCATCTTCTTTGAGATGAGAATTGGAGGAAGATTTGTGGTCAAAAGGAGGTGTGATGGCTGTGGTATGTCGAAAGATGCTGGTTTTCTGAAAGAATTTATTTATTCAGAGAAAAGAAACATCTTGATAGAGTGAAAGGCTGGTTTATGGGAAGTTACAAAATAAACACTGAAGGACAAAATTTCAATCATGTGTCTTTAAGTAAAATTTAGCTTCACAGGTTTAAATGATGTTAATATGAGGGACAGACGTATAAAATTCTATTGCTAGCTTCTATTTTTCCTTTGTAGACACTATTGAACTATAAACAACGAATGTTTGATTCATTATCATTGACTATCTCTAAATTTCAAAAATATGGTTGCATGCAGTTTCACAATAAAAAATCCAATGTTATTAAATATCAATTATAGAAATGTCTTCTCACCATTGCACTGAGGTGGTTGGGTCCACGTTCCCCTAATGCATGTAACTGAGCTCTGACCAATCATTGTAAAGCCTTCTCCGCAAGTGAACTCTACTGACTCTCCATGGTGATAGGAGGGCTGTGCTGGGGACACGACCTCGCCGTGGTCCAGCTCAGGTACGTCTCCACATGTACTGTCCTCCTCTGTGAAAATCCCACAAACAAACATTCAACTTTGAAATGTAAGTGAGTCTTCATATGAACAGAAACACAAAGTGTTGACATAAGTCTAACTACTGAAATTTTGGATACATTACCAACACACACGGGCAAGGGTGTCCACTCTCCATCAACGCACTGAATTTTCCTCGCACCCTTCATCAGGAACCTGGGGTTGCACACATACTCCACCACCTCACCGTGTTCATATTCCCCTTTAGGTGTGTCGGCAACTTTCCCATTGGGGAGTCGAGGAGGTTGATCACAGGACTGTACTTCCTCTACGGTAGAAACACTGTATAACTAAAGCTAAAGTGTCTCTTGTACAACTGAAAATCCAGTAAAATGAAGTGATTTTTTCTTTAATCTATTACTTATTATCTAACTTATTATAGCATTCTCTTGAGGAAGGATAAAGAATGGTGTTTACACCAGATTCATGTCTCCTAGCTCTGTTATGATACAGAACTAGCACATTGGACATATATGTAAGCCCAGAAAACATTCAATATTCTAGATCAGGGGTGGGGAACATATGGCCCGAGGGCCTTAAAAGCCTTGGAAATCATTTGGTCTGGCCCTGCCAAGGCATTAGGGGTGAGTTAATTAAATGTTTGACCAATTGCAGTAGGATAATTTTTAAGTTGATAATTTTAATTGATCTGAGAACGATGTCATAATATCCAAATGGCCCTTGGCAGAGAAAAGGTGCCCCCCCCTGCTCCTGAAGATCTAAAACTATATGCAAATCAATGACCAAATATCATTGTGAAACTATTCACATTCCACAGAAACATTTCATCAAAACTTTTTTGGGAAAAAAATCACTGGAGGCAAGCATTTCATCAACAAATTTTAACTCTATGTTATATTGTATATGGCATTGAATTAACTCCATGATGCTTGAAATTGTCTAGAAATTCTCAGGGAAACTTGAGGTGAGACCCATGCTGATAGAAATGTCCAATACCAATGGTGGAAGTTATACAAAAATTATGACCAAAGAGGTCACTTCAGTGTCACACAATATGTGCATCTATGGAGATTTTCAGTATATGGTCCAAACAACAATGAAAGATTATTTCCTTAAATAAGGAAGTGGGAGGTATCTACTACTCAACACACATTTCTGGCTTAATGCACTGAGTTATAGACACACTGGGAGCCAACAGAAAATTAAGAGAAAAGGGGCAGCTGATGTCAAACATTCTAATTCTTATTTGAGCGAGTGGCAGAGAATTAATCACCTTTACATGTTGGAGGGCTAGGGGACCATCCAAAGTGGTAGCACTGAAGAGAGTCTGCTCCAATAAGTTTATGTCTATTTCTGCAGGAGAATGTCAACACGTCTCCAATGACATATTTCTCTTTCTGGGGCTGAGCAAGTAAGCTCTGCTCTATATCGGGCACGATGCATTCTCTTTCTATAAAAAGAGTAAATTATTTAATGAGAACAGATGATTAATCAGTGCCAAGTAAACTTTATATGTCATGCAAGAATAAGTGGCTGGGTGTTGCCTATAAGGAGAGGCATCAAATAAATGCTCTCCATGGAAGTGCATTATCTATTATGTCTGACACATCCCTCACATTCATATGGGACTCTCTGATAGCGACAGATGTGTCCTGAACACTTATTTGTAATATCAACTAGCTTATAGTAAATCTGATTTTATCAATAACATTAGGAAAACTAAATTCTACATTTTTGGTATTATCAAAACAATACAATTCTCTCACATTAAAGAACAACTAATGCTACAATTTTAAATTGCATACTTAAAAAAAATTGTTACAGTAATGTAATATAGTTGGGGACCAGGACACTCAAAGAGAGGCATTTCTCATATATTTTAGTAGAGGAACTAAAAGTTGCTTAGTTAATCATTTAAATCAACTCCTAGGTAGAATAAAACCCCTACTCTTTCACGCCTACACTTCCAATGCCATCTTATCTTTTCCTCCCTTTGTTGATCCAGACCCCAGGCTTCATGGTCTCTGAACATTTTTTAAGAGATCAAGTTCCTTGCTCTCCCTGTTGCACGGTTCCGAATGGTTTTCAACCTTTCTGTGTAGAGATGCCTTCCTCTATGAAACAAGCCCTCAATCCCTCCCATTTTCAAAGCTCTTGGATGTATTCGTTCCTTTGAAAATATAAAAATGTATTAGAAATATTATTACTATTTGATCCATTATTGGACTTATTTAATTGTTGTTTTTTCCATAATGCAAGGAGCCTGTGTGGAGCCCATACTAGGTGCATGTGGAAGCCGGCATGGAGAATGTAGACAAATCACCAGAATATTTTTTAAAAAAATATGAGAATGTTTGTCAACATGGAAATATTTTATAGAAATGGACAAATGAACAATGTTGCCGATCAGCTTGGTGTTGCCCAAAGACACATGCTTGGCAAATCGTGGAGTGGAATTGAAACCCACCCAGACTATGAATCCATCTGTCAGACTTCCTGTCCCTTGAACCCTTTATCTCTCCACACCTAAGGCAACATTCATTCCAACATTTTTTACTTCTGATTCTCTGAATCCTTTTATTCTCTCTACTTTGCTGCCCTCTCCTCTTCTGACGGACATCTGCATGCTGGAATGCTTCAGGGCTCAGTCTGGAGGTCTCCTCTTTTCTCATTCTGTATTCTTCCCCCATGAGACGCTGTAATTTACATGGTGAGAATCTCATATGTTGAACTAGCTAGGCCTCAACATTCAACTCTGTAGCTTAGAATCTAATGTTGATGGTCCCTGGGCTGCTCAACGCTCATGTGCCCACGTCAACAGTGGAGATGTTCCTCTCCAAGAGCTTTCTCCTGCCCGCACTGCCTGACCAAACGCCACCTCCATGTACCTGCTTCCTTCTGAGAGAATATTTACAATAAGCATGTGAGTCCCTGGACGATTACTCTGCCTGACACGCAACACTCAGTAATGTCACTGTCTTTCTACCAACACGCATCCCAGATCTGTCCTCTGCTCTGCATCTCCTCAGCCATCACTCTGGTCAATCTCCACCGGAAATCCCCCCTTCCTCAGTGGAACCCTCATAGTTCCCAAGATTGTTTGGTTTTCAAAGCTTTACACAAACTGTCCACCCACGTGCC